TAGAAGTAGTTCCCTTGCATGACTAAATCGGTTTGAGTAACTTTGTTAGTCACATTGCTTAGTTTGTGTAGCTAAGTATTTTAGGCTCTCTAATTTAGCACTGTTTGCTTTATTATTGAGCATTGTTAGTGAGTTTAGGTAGCTTTGTGCTTTTGCTCACTAGATTGTGTAGGAGCTCTCCTGGTTGTCAAAGTATCAGTGCATAGGTTTGTATGACCTTGCTTTAGAATTGATTATGTGAGCTCTAGCTAAGCTATCACTTTTATTGTTTTTTTTAGAATCTTTATAAGGTGCTTGTGAATTTAAATAGAGGGATGTAGTTTTGGCTAAACCAATAACTTTAATTTCGTATTTGTTTTGATTAGTCGGCGCGTTTAATTTTTTAAAGGATTATTCACTCCTCTTTATCTACCATCTCGATCATACACTCGGCTGTTCCAGAAGCTTTGGACGGCCCTAAACTCCTATGAAGGTGCTCCAGCGTCGTGTCGGCAACTCTGGCGCCGTGGTGATCCCTCAAGTTCTGATCCAGTGGTCGGGTCTTCCTCGTTCGTTGGCAACCTGGGAGGATCTTGAAGCATTGAAGCAACGACTTCTCCGGCATACGGCACAAGAGAACGTCACGGCGCCAGAGGATGGGCTTCGTCGCTCCTCACGTGCTCCTCAGCCAAGTACCAAATACATGGGCCCTGCGTGGCAGTGACGGTAGAGACAGCTACCATGTAAAGGCATACTTAAGGAGAGCGAAGGAGAGAGAGAGGGTAACAAACTGAAGAACAGAATACTCTAATCAATATTCCTCTGCCGTGATATACGTGCTCTCCTTTGTTCTTCCCTTCTCCGATCCCCAATCCTCTTCTCCAGTTACCCTACGCTAACACAAAGTTACTCCCTCCGTTCCAAATTATAATTCGTTTGATTTTTTTGACCCCAAGTTTTACCGCTCGTCTTATTAAAAAAAATTATACAAACATAGTCAAATTTAAATCATTTTAAAAGAACTTTTGTTAATAAAGCAAGCCACAACAAAAAAGGGTGATATTTAGCACAAAATTTTGAATAAGACGAGTGGTCAAACTTAAAATTAAAAAGTCAAACGAACTATAATTTAGAACGGATTTAGTACCACATATTCAACGGTATTGAGTTGTCTAATACAAGTATTCGCAAAAAAAAAAAAAGAGTTATGTAAATAGGAAGGAAGATCAATGTTGGGCTGGGCTAGTTTTGCTCAGGTGCTCTGGCGGACCGGCGACTTCCCAGTCCAATGCATGCGTCAAGCAGAACACGGCCCACTCAGCTTGTCCCCTTGTAACCAGCCCGACTTCCTGGCTTGCTGCTGTTGCCTGTATTATAGATTCATAGGTACAGAAATTTCGAGCAAACTCGCAAAATACAAATACCATCTCAGATCAAATGATTCTTCCTCCCATGGGCCATAGTTTCATCCCGTCTCGCTTCTCCCTTGTAGTGGTAGAGTTAACAGCTGATCTCTCCAGTTTTCCACTATACAAGGCTGAAGCTGAAGCTAGCTGCAAACTGGTGGTGGCGAGCTAGAATGACATCATCAAATCAAATGATACAAGTCTTGGATAAAAATCTACACCAGAAAGCATCGGCGTCGAACCCAACAACGTCTTGCGAGTTGCGAGAGGACAGACACACAAAGCCAAGCCACAAAGTCGATCTCTCCCTCCAGGAATGCAGTGCAGTGCAGATCCCTGTCCCTCTCACCATAATTCACGCGTGCAAATTCCAAAACACTGAGGCCTCGTTCGCTTCGCTGAAAAAATAAACCGAAACACTGTTTTGGCTGAAAAAACAAGTTGAAAAAGATGAATTATAAGAGAAACGAACATAGCCTAACTCAGCGAAAACGGCCGCGCACTTGAGTAGCTGAAAAATCACAATCGGGGCTAGTATGTAACGAGCTAAAGATCCGGTTTAAAAACGTCGAGCTGGGAAGATCGATATTCCTATACGCAGCGTCATCTGGCCAATTCTGCCGATGGAACGTACGGCATCTGACAACAACGCCGGCGGCCACGAGAGCGAGCGCGAGAAAAACGCGTGTGGTGGAGCTGAGCCTGAGATGAGGCAGTGCGCGGTCGACGAGTTTGGAGTGCGACCACCCCTCCATGATTGGTGTCGTGGATCAACGATCAATCAAACAACGAAGAAACCGGGCTGCCACCTGCTCTCGCGAGCCGTGACCGTAGCACCTGGGCTGGGCCCGCCGCGGCTGTGACGCGGTGACGCCTGGGCGGGCAGGATCTGGAGGAGGTCGTGTTACTCACACGGCACAGCAGTGACAGCACATATATTTACCGTTACCGGGACTGGGAGGTACTTGTCTCTTGTGCGATTGCAATTCGTCCTCCTCGGTCAGTGCGGGTGGTGGGCCTAAGTGGGCTGAGCGGGGCCCATGCGACGCGTCCGTTTCTACCGGCAAACAAAGGACTTGACCAAGGGTTCTGGACTCAAGCGGCCGTGTCCTTTTCGACGGCCGCATGATTGGGCGCACGGTCCGTACGCCGCTCCTTCTAGGAAGTTGCGCGCGACAACGACTTCACGATTCACTTGCCAATGACTTCAGATATAGCGTTTGGTTGCAGGACGACGTGGTACGGATCTATCCACCATGTGATGATGTGAATATTAAAGTTCCTCAATCTCATCTCTCGTCCTCATAAACCTATCATGTTGGAGGTTATAGAGTTGTTTTTCTCCTGCAGCTCTCAAATAGCCAGCTCCTTTTTTGTGGCCATTAAAAAACTCTTCTTCTCCCCTCAAATAAAGGAGGAGTTGGATCTTCCCCATTAGAGTGGGGGCATCCAACTGTCACTCTCCTCCCCGGTACTCTCTCCTTTGGTGATCGAACATGGCCGAAGTTGAAGACGTCGCAGCGGGGGGCAAGGCCGAGGTAGACGCAGCATGGGACGAGGACGAGGCTATTGTGGGATTGGGGCCAGGTTCAGGGAAGAAGGTCGCCGCACCGAGATGGGAGTTGTCGTGCAGGGGAGGAGGCGGTGGGGAAGGAAATCGTGGGGATCGGAGGGAAAGACGAGAAGCGTAGGACAGGAGACCATGGGCAAAGAAGGGGATGAGAAGCCAAACTTGTACATATAGAGGTTGAAAGGTATTGACATGCAGACCCCACATGGGGTTGAGGTATTGGTGATATGTTGGAGCAACTCTCTCGATGACAAAAATAATAATAATATTGGTGGTCACCAATACTACTATATTAGAGATGGGTTATTTGGGAACTACTGAAGATGCTCTTAGTCAAATAAATATGCGGGGCTTGCCCTAAAACGGGGGATAGGCTTGCCCCTCATTCACGCCATGTCGTACTTAAGATGATCGTGCCATTGTATCATTTTCGAGATGGTGATAGCTTACGGAGCTCCTGTTTGTATTGCAGACGATGCGAAAGAGAATAGCGTCGGTGTAGATTACTCCCTCCCTCGGGAAAGGGATATAATTCTAATACATAGCAAGTTAAAGTATCTTACGTTTAACTACCTATATAAATATAAATAGTTATTTTGTCAAATAAGTATCATTAGATTTATCATGAGATATATCTTCATAACATATTTATTTGGCATTATAAATATTAATATTTTTAAGTATATGTTTGATCAAATTTTGGGCACTTATTAACCAAGAATGACAGAAGCAGTAATTGTGAGTGAGTTATGGATGGCAGTACCGGGAAGCTCTGGCTTGGGCTTGGGCTGGATAGGAGCACCTCCTATGCAGGATATATTTTTACTACTACAATCCTAAGCTTAACCGCGGTAGAAGACGGTGGCCACGTCACCCAAAAAATTGTTGATTGGCCCACGTCTTCCGATTGTTCATTGGATGTTTACTTACTCAGGTAAAAAAAAAATGAGAAAAAAACCCCAGCGCTCCCCACGTAGAGCTCCTCGTCAGGAACACACACAAAAAAAGGGCCCACGTCTCCCAAAAAAACTCCTCGGCAAAAAAGAAAAAAGAAAAAAAAGAGCGACCTTATCTTTTGGTGAATGCGGTGGTAGGTAATTAAAAAGATCGTAATCCTAACATCGAACTCAGGTTACATGCAAAAAAAAAAAAAGTTCGACTTGGTTTCAAAGACCACCGCTCTAATTTTTTTCGACTCAAGTCCAGGGCGGCACAATAGGATTATGCTCTAACGTCAGCATTGGGTGGCGGCAGATGTGTGCAGAAAATACTCTTAAGTCTAAATATGTCATTAATTTTTGAGCATCTTATCGACTTCAAATAAAAAATTAAAACTAGAAAGTTGTAAATCTGATAGTGAGATCTATAATTTTCATATAAAAATTATCTTAATTTAATTCAAGTTAAAAAAAAGATATGATTTGTATATAATTTTAAGTTGTTATCAGAAGTTTAAAGAATGCCCACAAAAGAAAATATAAACGCATGACGAACCTTTTATGAACATAACACAACTCAAGAGATAAATAAATTTTATATTTTAGGGGTCGTGGTTGAAGATAGCCTAACTGGCCCGATCTGTGTGCGCTAGCCGCTAGGGATAATCACGCACACGACACAACCCAATCCGCCCAGCCGCGCCCGCTCGTCCCGCTCCCAACCCAATCCACCCAGCCACGCGGCGGCTGGGCCTGGCAGGCAAACCAGCTCGACCCATCCAAGCCCGACCGCCAGCCGCCTCCGTCCGTCTCACTCCACGCGTTTCCCCAACAGAACGGACCGGGACCAGGATCAGGACCGGGCCCACCAGCGCAGCGTCACCCAGCGCCGCGGCTTTATAAAGCCGCACGCGCGCGGAACGGAGGAGGCCGCCCAGAGCAAAATCCACCGCTCCCTCCCCTCCCGTCCCGTGTCCCGTCGAACCAGCCGAGCAAGCGCCAACGCAAACCCAACGAGCCGCGGCGCCTCGTCGCGCGCGCCTTGCCTGTCCGCTTCTTCGTGCGATCGACCGCGTCGTCCGCCGGTCCGAGCCCTCCCCCCGAAGGATGGCGGAGCCCGCCACGGCGTCGGCGTCGGGGAGGAAGACGCGGGTGGGCCCGTACGAGGTCGGCAAGACCATCGGGGAGGGCAGCTTCGCCAAGGTGAAGCACGCCCGCGACTCCCGCACCGGCGCCGTCCGCGCCATCAAGGTGCTCGACCGCAACCACGTCCTCCGCCACAAGATGGTCGAGCAGGTCCATCCCTCGCTCCTTGCACTCCTTTCCCCCTTTCCCCTTCGCCGCGCGCCCGCTGGAATCACTTTAACCTCGGGGGAATTTTTTAAAAATCCTGGAGCTGCCACAGGAAGCTCTCTCGTAATTTATATTTTGTTCGCAATCAGGCACGTGGGATGGTCGAAGAATATCCTTTGACGTCTCTGTCGTGGTCGAGAGGATTGTCTGTGATGGGAAATCATGCGTCTGAATGTCCCAAAGCTCTGCTTAAGCTTTTGATTCCTGTGGAGAATTAGATAGGATGGGACATCGCATCGAGGAAATCATGACCTTTTAATCACCAATTAGCTCCCACAAAAGTCTCTTTTGGTGACAGCCATTCTGCCACAAGGAAAAAACTGTACACGCCTAGTGTCCTTCTTTTAGAGAGATTGAGATTGAAGACGTGGAGTATTGAAGAGCTAATATTTCCCGACACAATTTTATGAATGAAAAAAAAAACTTTCCATCAACCCTTCCTCATTTTTTGTTGAGATTGAAGATAGGGAGTATTGAAGAGCTAATATTTCCCAACACAGTTTTACTGAATGAAAAAAAAATCTTCATCAGCCCTTCGTGTGATGAAATACCGATATGCTAACATTAGATTTGCTTGTTCCATTTACTGTTTAGCCTGGCTTTGGAAAGTGAATGCTCAATATTACTTCTTCTTGTTCTTCCAGATGAAACGGGAGATTTCGACTATGAAGCTAATCAAACATCCTAATGTGGTCCAGCTGCATGAGGTATAATTTTTTTTGAGACGTGATGATGCAAGTTTCATTACCTTTTCATGATCCCCTCATTATGTGTGCATTTGATAGGTTATGGCGAGTAGAACGAAGATATACATGGTTCTTGAATTTGTTGATGGAGGCGAGTTATTCGATAAGATCGTAAGGCTCTCAAAACTTTCAGTGGCTCATATTGTTACTCTTTTACTTTGTGGACATTGCTATTAACATGCTTCGGGCTTAGTTTTTAGACCCCTGGCATGTATTTAGATAGTTAGGGCCATATTATTTAGGTGTCAGGTTTGTATGAAGGTTAGCTATATTAACTCATTCATCACATGTTCTTGATAATCTATCAGGTCAATTCTGGAAGGCTAGGAGAGGATGAAGCTAGGATATACTTTCATCAACTTATAAATGCAGTTGATTATTGCCATAGCCGAGGAGTGTACCATAGAGATCTGAAGGTTTGTCCAATTATCCTGCTCTCTTTCTCATGTGTCCCTAACTATGGATGCTGTGCTGTACACTTTTTAACTCATGTCTTCAATGCCTTTTGCAGCCAGAGAATCTGCTTCTGGATTCACATGGAGCTCTTAAAGTTTCAGACTTCGGCCTAAGTGCATTTGCACCACAAACAAAAGTATGATCTCTAGTCAGTAGCTAGAAGCTTGGATTTTGTGTGGTCAATAGACAAGCTCTTTTCTTTCTATCTGAAGTTGACACGTCTTAGGTTTTATTACAGCATTATTTTGGGTCATTGACTTAACTTGCTACCTTCTAAAGCGAACACATAATATATTCCTAGAGTAGTGTTTGTGCTTGGAGACATTTTTTTGACATAAGATTGTGCTTGGAAACATGGAAAGGTGATAAGAATTCCCATTAACTCTTCTGACTTTTTGTCAGGAGGACGGGCTTCTGCATACTGCTTGTGGAACTCCAAACTATGTAGCACCTGAGGTGAGTTTCTCACCTCTCATCAGTTATCAGCTTATTTGTGTTGTTACCTTTTGTGATTAATGTGCTTCAAGATGTGTAAGCATCGCGCTCTTGCTGCAGGTGCTTGCTGATAAAGGCTATGATGGTATGGCTGCAGATGTATGGTCCTGTGGCATAATCTTATTTGTTCTTATGGCCGGATACTTACCCTTTGATGACGCCAATCTGATGAGACTGTACAAACTGGTAAGTTTGGTTAATACACTTAAGATCTTGGTTTCCCTGTGAAATGCAGGGGTAACTTTGATGAACTTTTCTTTGATTTCCTATCACAGATCTGCCAAGCAAATGTTTCTTGCCCGCCATGGTTTTCTTCTGGAGCGAAGAAGTTTATTAAGCGCATTCTCGATCCTAATCCTGATACCGTAAGTTCAATTAAGATGTGGCTTTTCAATATCTGTCTCATCTTTTCATTTATCTGCTGCATTGTAGTCACAAGATCACATCCAGTCTCACTGTCATCACTGTTGGATAAATGGGTGCTGTATTCTTGCAGAGGATCACAATTGCAGAAATTTTGGAAAATGAATGGTTCAAAAAAGACTATAAACCACCATGTTTTGAACAAGGTGAAGATGTTAGCCTTGACGACGTTGATGCTGCATTCAATGATTCAGAGGTATTATGCCTAAAAAAGGTTCATTTTGAATTTACGATTGTCTTGAAAATCTTCCCAGAAATATTATGTGCTTTAAAACACATTTTGATATTTTATTTTTATGTTCACATTATCGTTCAGAGATGCTATAAGGTGAACCTTTTTATTTCTTATTACTTTTTTTGTTTTGGAAGACCAGATTGAGAATTTCTAAGGACTTGATGACACGATAGATTTCTTGTTCTTTTCAGGCTACTCAAATGTCCCATTTTTTTTTTGTAATGGATATAGTATGTCTCTTAAACATCTGATTGGTGAACATCTCAGTTAAGCAATAATTAATTGTTACATAAAAGACTCCAGTTAATGGGTTACCTTTCATTTTTTTCGTTTTAGGACCGTCTTGTGTCAGAGAAAAGAGAAAAACCAGAATCCATGAATGCATTTGCTCTTATTTCGAGGTCACAGGGCTTCAACCTTGGAAATTTGTTTGAAAAGGAGATGATGGTAAAGTTCTCAGAGCTTTGAATATATTATATCCTCATGTTTGGAATATAGTAGAGATTAGTAACAATTATAACAATTATATTGGAGGAAATTCTGTTATTCATTTCCCACTTCTGTAAATCTCAGTATTGGTCAGCGAAAAAATGGGTACTTTCACTGCAACCTTTTCTTGATTCCTTGCTAATGCGTGTCTTTCCTAAATAGGGAATGGTAAAGAGGGAAACATCTTTCACGTCTCAATGCACAGCACAGGAAATCATGACAAAAATAGAGGATGCATGTGGGCCACTTGGTCTCAACGTGCGGAAACAAAATTACAAGGTGTGTGACATTTGCTATCATGGGCTAGTAATGTGTGGTCTAACGAGTTTCATGAGAATTTGCATTATAATTATATAACATTAACGATTCACATGTACCTTTATTTGATCCTCTAGATGAAATTGAAAGGTGACAAATCTGGAAGAAAAGGTCACTTATCTGTTGCAACTGAGGTACTGGCACTACTCCCAGAATTGCAACATTGGATTTATATTCTGGTTTGTTTAAGCCTGCATTAGCTACTGCTTTAAGAAGTGATGAAGAAAGCAATATTGAGCACACCAGTAAAAAAAGCACACCAGTAAATCATTCTATTGTATGAATTCTTTACCTTACATATCCATATTTTACTCATTTGCAGGTTTTTGAGGTTGCTCCATCACTCCACATGGTTGAGCTTCGTAAAACTGGAGGAGACACATTGGAGTTCCACAATGTACGTTTTCAAAAAGAAGTTTTTTTTTTCAAATAGGCGTTTTCTCAGTGATTTTAAGTAACTAACATGACTTTATGGGAATTGCTGCAGTTCTACAAGAATTTCTCATCAGAGCTGAAAGATATCGTGTGGAAAGCTGAATCTGACGCAAGTAAGAAACAGACGAAGTGATACCCAGGGAATTTGTGTACCTTATGAGGCCACATTGAGATAGACCACCTCTTCGGGCGATACCGCTTGCTTGGTACTGTATGATTTTTTTTACTGGTACCACATTAGCAGTCAAAATCTCTTGTAAACCAGAGCTCCTTCTGAATGAGCGCAGTTGTACACAATCCATATGAAGAGGCCCTCCCTGAGATGCTCCAAACACTGCAATGGGATGTCAAAATAGCTATCCTGAATGCTTTGGTTGTCACCGGGGTTGAGTGCCTTTCTTTTATGAAAATGGCGAATGATGTATGATTGCATTAATTATGAAGCTAAATTCTAGTATTTCGGAGCAACTGAACGGTTATTTAGCTGAACTTTTCAATTTTGGAGCGCTCTACGCTACTATCTCACGTGTGCGACTGGAACCCTCCGGTTCCCCACCCCCAGCAGTTTCTCCATTTTTATGATTTTTTTTCAAACGAGAACAATTTCCTTCAGATCTTCCATCTGAGGAAGAAATGTTTCGAAGCGAAAAGAAGAAGAAACTCCGGTACTTGTTTTCTACGAAAACCTTTTTGGTTTCCTTAAAAAAAGAAAATCTTTCGGGATACATGCGGAAAGCCATCTCTGCTAACGGAGGCCTCGGTCCACTTCGCTTTCCAGGCTCTCTGGTCCAGCAATTTTTCACCGAGCCCAGCCACATGCGCAACCTCCGTTTCGCTGCAGGCCTGCAGCCGAGTCCCACACGCACTGTCAGTAGTCACATAAATCGGGTGTCACTTAAAAAAAACATAAATTGAGCGTCAGTCGTAGAATTTTTTTTCTCGGATATAAACTGATTTTTTGAAAGTTTGGTATAAACTGATACATTTTCCTTAGCACTCTTGGCACCACTGGTAGTAGTTGCCTTCGGTAGGACGAAGTGTGTACGTTAATTAGTTTCAGAAAGAAAAACGGTTGTTGGTCGAGTATGACAAATGCAGCCCTATATAACACATCGTGCAGGGTACTAAATGTCGATAATCGACTGTGACACGAGTTGTTGAACAACTGAACTACATCGAAGACGACCTGAACAGGCTACACTGGAGTTACAGAAACGATTATGCCTGACCTCAGTGGAGGTGTTGACAGCAAAAATGTACTGACGAGTGCAATGAACTCCACCGTTGGAGTCAACAAGAGGTAGTGGCGGGGCTAGCCGGCTACTGACCAACTGACCCATGAGGGTAAGGCTGCGCCTAGCTTTGGAGAACTGGAGTAGTACGTACTACGTCCGTGGCGTTCAACGGTAGTTTGGGCCGGAACAGAACAGTTCAATACTTGTTCTCCTATCCGACGCCACTGGCTTGGTCTCCCTTTTAAAACTAGTTTGAGGTTGAGTAGGTGTTGTACGATCTCCGGTCAGCTTAGAAGAGGATGAATAGGCCTGTCAAAATAAACATTTAAATTTTTATTAAATTCATCCTGTGGCATTGTCTTTCTGAAGGGCGGTACTACCGGACTACGGCACTGCCGGACCAGAACAGCGGCACTGCCGCACCTGTAGACAACTTCGAGTCACAGTTCAAAATCCGTGAACGAAAACTTAGATTGGAGAAATTTCCTAGCTCACTGCATGTATGACAATCACAGATCAAAATCTAGAAGTAGTAGGAACACCTAGATCGACTAAAAACCCTAGAAATCACCTCAACCACGATATGTCATGCAAGTAATATAAATCAAGCACAAGTGGCACAATGATTTATCCCGTGGTTCGACTCGCCACCAAGACTTGCCTACCTCCACGTTGTTGAGGATAGCCACTAAGGCTTAGGGCTTTCCAACCCTTCCTCGTTTTCAAGTCAAGAGGCTTAACTCTTAAGATGAGGGCTGGGTTTACTAATTTCAAGAGATAGTTACAAACCTTCCGGGACTGCCACACAAGTTGGCAAGCTCCACAGGCAACGCTCTAGCCAGCTAAGAGCCAAGCTCTAAGAGTAACAAACACAACCCCCGACCAAAATGTGAACCAAGTGCTCTTTAGAGTTAGGGAATCAATGGAGCTGCTCTCTAATCGAGTTTTGAACCATTTTCTCTCAAGGATTGATGGGGAAATAAATGAATTTGCTTGAGGGCTCAAGGTCACTAATAGAGGGAGGGAGGGAGAGAGGGCTCCTTTTTTTTTGTCTTGGCGTGCTGGAATGAGCAGAAGGAAGAAGAGCGCCGTTGGGGAGGAAGAGGAAGAGTATAAATACCCTCCAACCCTCAACGGTCACTTGAGTCGTGGCAGTGCCTCTCTTAAAGTACGACAGTGCCGCACCACGCAAGACAGCAAGGGTAAGAGTGAAGTGTAGTATGTCTTGGCTGTGAATCTGATGATGCATGTGTATATTTGAATACTTGGTAGCACATATTTGCTTAAGCATTGTGTCCTCCTTTATAGTACGGCTTTTCATATACTCAAATTCAAAATATAAAAGAATTTAAACCTCCTTTGAGTTTGAAGCCATCTACATTTATAATTGAGGGCTCCTCTATTTCGTGTAGCATCGTCGAACATGAATTCTCTGCTTGTCATCTCGATAAATCTCATTAGTTCTCTAATTGCGTGGTCATTATTACCAAAACACATAATTAAGGCCTGATTGCATGTGTGCTCCTGAGTCGGTGGAATAGCTGAAGCTCACGGTCTCCGTCATCTTATTTCTGAATTTGATCATGCTACATTTGGTACTACGACTTTGGCTTTTGAAAAGCATTGATTTTCTTGTATCGTTAAGGGTTGGGTTGGTAGTTGAAGCATCTTTAATTTGTAGGAGCATAGCAACAAAATTAAACTAGACTACTGCATCAGTCATGTACATCGACGATCTATGTGAGGTAATTTGAATATATGCATCTATGATTTATATCTTTATCTTTACGTAGACTATGTTTAGTTCTACTGATGCTAATAGTTAGCTGGCTAAGCTATTTAGGGCGTGTTTGTTTCAAAGCCGCTAATTTTTAGCTAGCTAAAGCAGCTGCTAAACTTTAGTTACTCCTGTTTGTTTGGGTGAACTAAAAGGGATTAAACCTGACAGCATGATGTGTATCATGATCAAAACGCCCCTAATTAAGTGCTAACTCCTGCCCCTGGGCGTTTTGGTGCGCTAGCCGCGTTGCTGGGCGCGCGCGCTGGTGTTTTGGGCCCCTGCTTGCTGCTCTACTCCCTGGCCGCGTTGCTCTGCTCTCTAGCCGCGCTGCTGTGCTGACTGGCCGCAGTAGTAACAATTTTCACTCATAAATAATGTTCAAATCGTTATTACAAACCACACGTACACAAATCCTCATTATTACAAATCATTTCACTCTTGATAACTATGACCTATTAAATAAATCATTGGCAATCCAATCACGAAATTGATTCATGCATTGATCTTTGTCCCCATGACGTCTATTGGTTCTATTTGCTTGAGAAGAAGATTCACCATTTGGATCATAGTTTTCATCTTGATCACACAAGTCAAAGAGATCATCCATCGTACCACTCTGTCTAATGAAATTATGTAATGACATGCATGCCATAATTATTTTGCTTTGCTTGGGCATTGGAAAGCTAGGTAAATCTAACAAAATCCTCTACTTCATCTTTAGCACTCTAAAAGATCTCTCTATGACATTTCTAAGTGAAGAATGTGCATAATTAAACAGCTCCTTTTTACCTCTTGGTGCAGGTCCTTGCCTCCATTCAGGGACATGTAGACCAATTTGCCTTGTCAAACTGATAGAGCATCATATCAGACACATACATGTACAAGCTAATTGATCAGTCAAATAGACACATGTACAAGCTAACAGATCAGACAAGTACAAGCTATCAGATCAGATCAAAGCAAATCAGAGCTCATCAAAGCATGTACAAGCAAACAGATCAAATCAAAACATAGCAGATCAAAGCTAACAGATCACATCAAAACAGAGCAGATCAGAGCAGGTCAAAGCTGAAAAAAACAAGCTTACCTCATTTTCCATGCCGTTGCCATCTTCTTCCTCCATTGTGTCAGCGCCGCCCGCATCCAGACCTGAGCTGCCGGCAGCAATTGATCCACGAAGCCTGCGGTTGGCCGTCGGTGGAGCACGGGCAACGCTGGATCCAGAGTTGGCACGGCGCCTTAGAGCGCGCTGAACCAGGCTAGGAGGAACGAACGGGACGGAATCGGATCTGGCGCCAATGCGAAGTGGCGGAAGACCGTGGCCACCGGGAATACTGTCACCTTGGAGAAGGCCCTGGTACGAGTCGATGTGGGCGTAGCCGTCCACGTCAGCGTTCAGATCCAGACCCTCCATGCCCCAACTAGAGGAACCCGGAACATGCGCCGGTGCTTGGGGGAAGTAGCCGAAGTTGCCGGCGTCGGGGATGAACGATGGACCAGAGGCCATGGGATCCACCGGAGAAGATGACTGGGAGAAAAAGTCCCCATGACCGTCCATGGCGGATGCGGCGTGGGTGTATCGGCGGCGGTGGAAGAGGCGTGGGGAGGAGCAGGGACGGTTGCGGCGGCGGGGGGGGGGGGGGGGGGAGCAGAGGAGTGCGAGAGCGAGAGTGAGAGCGAGCGAGCTGGAGATTGAGGGATAAATGAGGGGTATCCCCTGTCCAAAGTTGGGTTTAGTCCCATTTAGCAACCCCTGGTGACTAGTTGGCTAAATGGTCATTTAGTCCCATTTAACCATAGTGTTTGGCTAAAAAGAGACTAAATGAGATTAAAATTAGTCAGCTAAACTTTAGCAGCCCAAAAGAAACACCCCCTTAGCTAATAAATACTAACTACTATCTAGCTTATTATCAATAGGGAATGTTTAGATCCACCTACTAATATGTACTCCCACCGTCAAAAAATGATGTTTTAGTAGTTTTCAGACAGATTAGTGGAGACGAGAAATGTCCCTAATACCCTTGGTTTTTTTGACTTGATTCGCTTAAAAAAGAATGACCCATGCTTTACTTGCCTAATTAACATGCGTTGCATGGAAACGTGCAGACTTCATGTGGGTCAAAAGCATGTCTAGAGTTCAGAACATTATTTTTTCTGAGACAAATTTTAAATCACAGAACATCACTTTTTTTTTAACCGAGGGAGTAGTTGGATACGCTATTATATTAACACATATTAGCACCTCTCCACTTTAGTATCTCTAGTTTCTAATAGTTAGCAAGTCTATTAGCAGACTTGTTAGATCCTTACTACTATTTTTAGATGCTAGCTATTATATTAGTACTAATAGATATAAATTAAATAGACCCTTAGCTAGGGCGCACGACTTTTTTTATTTTTAATCAAAATACT